CTTTTTTTATAACCTATCGAGTATATTATTGCAAATCGAAATCAGTCTAGGAGCACTTTTGACCCCTAATGCCGGCTGTACCCTTTCTTCAAAAACCATAGAGGATACAAATACTTATGGGACTGACTGTGCATATTTTCTTTAGGAAATTTTGTTATATATATTTTGTTATATAGAACGGAATATGTTTGTATTATAACGAGACTGCTGATGTTTATGCAAATTTATATCTTTCTATGCATAAATAAAGAACAAAAATTTAAATTAAAGTATGTTTTGGCATCTCGATGTTGTAACGTGTATTTTATTTGTTAAATTCTCTATATTTACATTTGTCATAAATTGCATAAGTATGTCCGCAGCCTAATTATGACTTAGGGGGATCATTAGCATTCTGTTCGTATTGATTAACCGTCTTGGCCATGATTCTCCTCTATAATAACAAAATATTAAATTCTATTATCCAATAAATGGGTCGTAATGTTCCTCGAAATATTTCTTTATTTCTTGTGTTATAGAACTGAATATTTTTTATTAGGACCCAGAGAGAATCGTAAGCATTCTATTCATAATAATTAAATGTTTTGACTATGATATTTCGTGATTCTCCTCTGTAACAGAAAAATATTTACTTCTGTAATATAATAATTGAGTCACAACGTGTCTGAAAACATTTTTCATTTATTGTATTGTACTATAAAACTGGATATTTTCTTATTAGAACTGGAGCAGGCCGTCAGAATTCTATTCATATTGATTAAACGTTTTAACCATAAGGTTTTATGACCTCCCTCTCTAATAAAAAAAAAAAATCAATTCTATAATACAATAAATAAGCTGCAGCCTTCTTGAAAATATTTTTTATTTGTTGTGTTATAAATCTGGAAATTTTCTTATCAGGACTGGAAAGGGCCAGAAGCATTCTGTTTATATTGATTAAATGTCTTGATCATAAAGTTTTATGATTTTCAATAACAAGAAAATATTCAATTCCGCACCTAAGACACTAAACAAGACATTTTTAGAGAGATATTCTGACTTACTTGTTATATTATTGCACTGAATATTTTCTTATTACTGAAGAACATCCTTACTATAAAACCTCGTAATTGGAGCACCTGGTAAAGCTGAACGTAATGCCTGGGATTACATTACTTACTAATAATTTGATTAAAGGTCTCGTCGCTTTTTACCCCTTGAGCAATCAAAGAGCTGTGTCTCTAACGTCAGCGACTACTTATCAAGCAAATTAGTTCAACACTTGGCATAAAACAAAGGTTAAATAATTTGCATGCAATCACAAATGTGATCCGAGGATATTTTGAAGCAATTATATTGTAATTTCTACTTGGTGCTTTACTTTTATTTTCCTAGTAGACGTAGTGACAAGATTTATCCTTTACATTCTTTTATCAATTCTACAAGGAATTATAACGTTGATTTTAGGGTCCCTAGTAAAATGTCTTGTCTCTTGAGCGAGTAGAACATAAGTCCACCGTAAAGAGACCTCGTCCTTAAAATTTTAAGTTAATATTTGCCTTACCATAATCTAAATTGTTTCCTTGCCATTAGTCTAAATAGTCCGACTTGAAAATGGAGACCAATAAAATGGAGATCAAACAGACAACGATATACAATGAATAACTTTAATATTCGCACAATGCAATTTTTCCTTTGTCGCTTTATAACTATGTTTATTACGAAGGATGAGGTAATTAAGGTACGCGTTATACTAAAATATTGAGTCTAGTTAACAAAAGTATAAAGTGTATTTCTTTAATTGATAATATTCCTTATACAATGAATATGAAACGAAAGGATATCTAATTTTGACTTTACTTTACATGGACACTTACAAAAATTCTTAGTTAATGTTGTAGTTATTGTAAATAATTACTATTTTCATATTTCGTCGTCTTTTTCACGAATAATTTATTTTAGACGTTGAGGCATATTGCAGACAATTCTTTTTGAACATTTTGTTCCGGAATTATTGGATTCTCTTTGAGGTTATTGTAAACTCTTAAAAGGATTGACATTAGAATTAGTTTACATTAGAGGCCTCGTAAAACATTGTATTCCGAATTCCCCGAATATTAAAGTAACGCGAAAATTAGACATTATATCATTTGAGTCTTATTTTATAAGAAACATTAAGAATTAATATTGTTTTGTCTAAGATTTATTTTATAAGGAACATTATGAATTGAATACTTCAACTTTATACGTTTGTTAATTAGATTCCATTATTTCATTTTTTATCATAAACGAATTAATAAAGCATCAATATAAAAAATTGTGAGTTTCATGACAGTTCGTATCATTTATTCTAATATTTTTTTATATATTTTTATTCTTACATATAATTACATATGATTACACTATTCACGAAAAAAATTGTTTTATTTCTTTGGAAATTTAATGTAAAATACTTTACTAGTATAGAATTTGAAACTGACGCCTATAATGTGAGATGACGCGTCTCAGTATAAAAATTGTAGTAGAGGATTAATTATTAAAATTTTATATTTTCAAAATTATAGCAACATCTTGACTATCCAATACCTTTGACTGGCCGTTTTGAAGGATAGACTTAATCCAATTTTCACATTCTTACCATAAAACAATATCCACTATCTTAATGTTATATACAATAATTAAACAAAAATTACTACTCTAGTACATTTCTCAATATGTTTTACCTTTTTCCTTACGAAAAATAATAAGCTGTCTCACATCGAATGAAATATTTTTACTGTCACTTCATTTTTCATCGCAGAAAAAATAATAAACCGACAAATTATTAGGTCAACTTATAAGTTCAAGCCACTTATGCTTGTTATGAGAAAATATACATAATTACTAAATAATATCATCGCTATAAAATTTCTGTGGTTTTCAATTAAATATGAACAGAATCTGTGACATGAACCTATGGAATGTCCTAATAAAAATGATAAAATTCTCGAATATTAAAGTTACTTATTATAAGTCTGTTTATCGAGCAACAAAATCGGTAAAGGCGTATTACGTATCGTTTCCGATGGTCTCCCTTCGTTCGTTGACCGTGACGGCTACTTACAATTAGTCTTAGAATTTACCCTTTCACCGTCACCCATACTAACGCTCCTCGCATAGTCCACCACGAACTCTCATGCCCATTTTATGTGCCCATATGTACTCACATCTGTCCGCGTGACATTTTACGCGTTGTAATCGAAGCTATAATAGTGCACTCTCGGTAACAAATACCAGCAGGGTGACGAGATTCTATGGCCTCCATTTTAATAGATGGATCGAAAACATTGTCTTTAACACAGGGGAATTTTCGTTGTTTTCGTATTACTAACTGGCCAAACGAGCACGTTCCGAGTATATTGACACGTTAACGCTGACGTTTGTAATTTTACTTACAAAACTTTAGTTAAAATAAAAGGCATTCGCAGTACGTTTTATTAGTCCAGTTATCGGTTTGAGACGTTTCAGGGTTAATACCCGTTGGCAGTAACGAAAACATTATCATTTATTGCTGTTAATATATTTTAACATTGTATTTTGCTTCTGCTAACGTGTGATAACGATAGATTTCGATAGTTATGAAAGAAATTTGTAAACATACTTGTACTTGTCAGCGTGAACGTGTTGACAGAGTTTTTGGCAGTAACTGACAATGTGATGTTACTAGGGTTGTCAGATGATCCAGTATATGAAGTACGCAAACTATACAAATAAGTTTGAAGATAACGTTAGTTCATTAGTATAATATTTTGCATCCACAAAATTGAGACAAGCTGCACTTGTAATTGAACAATCGAATTACTACTCTATTATACTTTGTATTGTTCTTTTAATTTTTCTGTTAATTTTTCTGTCGTATAAATTTTATTTCACCTTTCGAAATAAAGATTATGTCTTACACGTTCGTGAATTAATTAATATTCGTACCAAATAATAAGTAACTAAAAATGTGAAGTTATGTTAAATCTGTTTTCGTGGAAGCATTATTTTAAACGAATTCTACAGGAATTTTTATTATACGACAGAGGATTAACACGTATACGCTCAAATTTTTATATGTCTAACATCCGATTGATGTATAAAATGATAAAATTTGCATTTTGTGATCCCTTGTAAAAATGTTTGTAGAAGATTGTGTTTGTTGGTAAGGAAATAACATAGAGGTTTCTTAAATAAATACGTGGCCCTCTTCAGGATAGATTGTAAAAACAACTTTACATATGCAAATGAACATAATATAATATAATACAACGTAAATTTAACGTTATTTTCATTGGTATATATCGGGTGTAAAAATTAATTCTATGCCACTACATAGAATCATTTATAACTCTAGTTTAAACAGACATACGTAATTTATTGTAATGGAGATAATACAAGTTAGAAAATTGGTACTTTAGCATAACAAAATGGCAGGTAACTATTCCTACTTAAATTAGAGTCGTTGATTATAAAGGCACAAAATTACTTTCTACACCCAATATAAAATTTGTTTTAGTATTCCAGTATTTGTTAAAAGTATTCCTAAGAAACTCGTCAATTTTCATAACAATACATGTTTAAAGAACCTCTGTTCTGCTTCCCGAATTACCAAAAGAATAAACACATGAATTCAAGATAGTTGAACAATTTTTCATGAAAGTGAATTTATTCTAATTGTAACGAATGAGGTATAACGGCACACTGCTGGCAACCCTAGACGTTCCTTCAATTATTCATAAACAATGCACTTGCTAATATCATACTTCGTTTCCCAGAAGTCTTGCGACCGGAATCATAGTAGCTCAACCTTCGACAGTTTGCACGACTTCTGTGAATACGTGTTTTTCAGTCGCATGAATCAATCTCGGTCGGCCGTTATCGATGATCGACAAACGTCACCGAGCCGCATTATTTACTTGATTGTTCCGTGCATCATTTTTACCATAAACCCGACTACCATCTGTGTCCCCCATCATCAAATTGATGAAATGTTGCTTCAGAGACGGCGAAGCCCGTGCAACCAGCGGTACCGCCCGAAATCGGGCGAGGCGAGCAGCCCGATGAACGGGACAATGAAATCGTCATCGAGCTGGATCGAGAAAATCAGTACGGTCGTACGCAGCCACGAGCTAACGAGCCTCAAGGTAATCATTTGCGCAATATCCGGATGGTCCACCCACATCTCGTGTCACGATATACATTTCTTTTCTCTGTTTCACTCCTGTTCATCAGCACTCGATCACGATCCACTCCCCGGCACACCAAGCTTTTCAACATGCACACACCCTCGCATACCATGGTAACCGTTCGAACTGTTTAAAACAAACGTGATTTGCATTCTACAAATTCGGGTTTTAAGTGATTTTATATATGTGTAATAATTGTTTCTTTTTTTTTAGTATAAGTTAAAGTTGAAACGATGACAAAGAGTTTAGCTTAAAGTAGCAACATAAGTGATTTAAAAAGTTGTTTTTCATTTTGTTTTAGTGTGAGTAGAGATTATTCGAACTTTGTTCGATGGCGGTTGGAAAGATTTTAATGGGCCCATCTAAGAATAGCAGTATAAAAGATTTTAAATATTTGTAATAATGACTTTTCAATGGTGAAATATTTGTTCTTCTTGGACACAAGTAGAAAAGTTTGCAGACTTTGTTCAATGGAGGATCAAATGAAATAAACGTTAATATACAAATTAATAAAAAATTAATATAATTAAATGTATATAAAATTGATTTTTCGCATTTTAAATGGTAAATATTTTCAACACTTTGTTATATCGTCTCCCATTATAATCGTAGACAACTTCTTGAGACTAAACGAAATTAATATCATTAATTCATACTAAATTAATGTAATAAATAATGCAAACTTAAATTTGACACAGTCTAAGGAAATTAGAAAAACATTAATAACGCGTTCGTTGTAATGGATAACTTGCTTACAAGTATTGTTGTACATATATTATACATAGTTCTTTATTAATGACATAGAATTCGATGAAATTGTTATATGTTCTTTATTTAGTATATTAGTATTTCCATTCCTATATTTATTATACTTTTAGTTTTATCACATTGATTCCGAGTAAATTACGAAAATGTAATGAAGAATGTGTCATTAATCGAATCAGTGTTAAAAATAAGTATACCTTGCCAAATACGTGCAGAGTCCTTTAGCCAATATATAACAAAAAATTAGTATTCCTCAATACTTCTATCTAATTTCTTCGCTTAGAAGTGAAGTTTCTTCTCGCATTCTTGAACTCGTCAAGCCACGATAACAAAATCAATGTCAACAAAAATTATACTCTCATAAATAATAATCGGTTACAAGTAGTTGTTTGTCGCTAAGATTACATGGTATAACAAATAGTCCAAAATATTTCGATAGCTCATAAATTAAAAATAAAGTGCCGTTAATATTACGTTAGAAAGTTCCAAATCCGTATTATTCATGAAAAATTGAATTCAATGAAATGCCAATCACGTTTGTTTCCCGAAGTATAAAACAATCTTGAGCAGCAGACAGCCATCGTACTCCTGTCACCCATTTTTGTCTAAAGGTTCAAGCTGGTTTTATTCGTTACAGTCGCAACTCTCCTCGTACGTTAACGTATACAGTGTGTCCTAACTTTGTGCACCGTGCTCACCCTGTTGTTTGTAACTAGTTGCACCGCTATTCGTGTCCCCGCCACCTAGTTTTATTGAAAGTACGCTCAAGTAGAGAACAAGGACCTGGTAAAACCTGTGCACGCGGTTACGTCAGTCAGACGGCTGTCAGATGACGGAACGTGGACCATGAAATTGTAATTTTCGAGAGGATCGCATCAACGAGTGTCGTGACCAACAAACTCTGGAGTAGTAGAAGTATCATTGGTAGCTAGGAAGTATGGCTTTAAGGGTTACATTCGGTTTAAATGATTTCTGTCTACGCTATTGCAGATTTGTTTATTTATTATTGATATAAACAGCAGCTAAGGAGTTAGGAATATTTGAGAGGTTGATCAAATGCAATTCTTCAGGAATTTTGGCTATTGTCTGTTAATATATTTTATAATCAGTGTTTCGCTATTCGAAAGGTGTATGCTTGAAAATATACTACACAAATGTTCATCGGAAAATATGAAAAATGTTTGGAAATATGAATTACCTACTAGAGGATATTAAAAAAAAAGCATAGTTTGCGGCAAGCAATGTTACACGAAACTAGATCATGTGAAATTAAAGAATTCAACGAATTTCTTTGAAATAATGTTAAAACTAGCACTTAATCGTAGCTTTAAATAAGCTGATATTTTCTAAAAATGAATTTAACGAATATAAACATTTCTCTGAGCCCATTTCTCTTCGTAGTCAAAGAGTTAATAGATGTTATCATATGATTGTATAATCTATAATAGAACAAAGTATATTAATACTGGATAGTCTAAAATATTCATAGAAAGAACTGAACAAATTGATTAGTTACTTTTGTAGCATTATTACGTTGTTGACTTTATATGTGCCTCTTTGTTCGATAGTGTACACCGATATTTAACTTATAAAGTAAGAAAGAAGAGTTTAGAGTACTGTACAATTTTAGGACAGACATGAGTTTCATACATGACATTGATTTGTATGAAACTAATATATCACCTACAAAACATTTCGATTGCTAGGATCGGATTGACTACACACATTTTGCTAAATGGAAGCCTTTACCTCAATTCATTTATGGTAGTATGAACACAATTATTTAAACTTAGTGTACCCTCCATACTAATCAGCTACCAATCCTACGCCTACTTATCTAGACTTCGTTAGCTACTATCCTCCTCTAGCAGTATAATTTCATGATTCGATTTCGCAACGATGATGTTTGAGGAAAATAGAGACTGATCTCCTTTAGGTCTCGAGAGATATTCATGGCAACGACATAATTGCATTCGTGTTTATGCAGCCACGAAATCCGTGAAGAATCGGTCGACATTGGGTCATCCCAAGCCAAAATGAAATACTTTGTAAAGTAACATTTAAAAATTTGAAATTTGAATATTTTATGATCTCTTATCACAGTTATTAGCTTACAAGTTGTAAATATTTGCAATTTATATATTGTCAATATTTTCAACACTTTAAAAATTGTACCTAACGCTGTATTTATTAATATGTAAATGTGCTTCGAAGAATTTTTAGCAATTTTAAACATTGTTGATTGCAGTTGTGTTTGAAAAGTAGTATTTGTTCAATACATTGTAACTGCTGGCCTGACAATCGGATGGAAACGAGCTTTTGCGTGCTTTTCAGTACTGTCAAATAAACATTACATCGATAATTAATCGTAGAGTAGTTAGACAACCATAGTTTAAATTTATTTATTTAAACGTTTCGATTGTATTCAATCTTAGTCTTCTTCGATAATATATTAGGTGGACTGGAAAGTAATGTCGTTTCTTTTACATTAAATTCAAACAAATTTTTTATAAGTTTCTATTTTTAATTATTAATTGTATAATCGCTCCCGTTATCAATAGCCTTTTGCCATCTAGTGTGCAAATTTGCCAATACCAAATCGATAAAAGTCAATGAGCTGATGAACGATAAACAAGTATTTAAAATTGCAAAAACGACATTATTTTCCGGTTCACCTAATACATGTCCTTGTTATTCCGTGTAAAAATAGAATAATATGTATAGATTACTTCGTAAAGCATATAAATATAAGATGGGAGCATTTAAATAAATCAGTTTAAATAATGCTTGGCTAGCTTTCTTATGATAAGTGATTTTTCATAACAACAAGCAATAGTTATCATTGAAAAGGACTCTCCTTAAAATGAAATCTGTTTCCGTAATTGATTTAAATAAATTTCTATTTTAAATATAGCCCAATTGGTCCTCTTTATAAGCCAATTTTCAGAAAAACGACACTTTTAAATTAACCATATGAAACTTAGTTTAAGTTGGTATTGTACTTTTTATTGATACACAAGATGTATTCTAATATGTCAAAACCACTTCGAACACCCACATGCATTTGTTTTTGATTACAATTTCTCTCATTGCATTTGTTTTCAATGAACTGGTGAATCGTTTCTACATGTTAGGGCACACCCTGTTTAGAATATGCGACTGGTGCAAGATCTTACAATTAGATAAGAATTAATGGCAATCCTTTGCAATAAATATTTTTACAATGCATGGAAATAACGATTGGGATCCCCTCATCGATGACACTTATTGCTGGAAACATTCAGCTTAGCGTTATTCAAAGTAAGCCACAAGATTGTGGTGAGTATTGTCCTATTCGATTGAAACATCTGATTGGACATGATGGCATTACAGATAAATGAGATTAGGTTAATAGATAATCTGTTAGATTAATAGGTATTCTATTGAATCAATTTGCCTCTAATTAAATAAATCACAAATTATGTAATTAACTAATTAATTCACCATTTTTACATTTTGTTACATTTAACTGTAGTAACAGAACAGTACAAAATAGAGAAACTATTTCTATTTGTATAAACAAACAAAATTGATATGTTTCACGAATTGTTTTGGCGTTTCTCTCGTTGAATTTAAAATTGATTTGTTCAATGCTAGCCATCGCTCAATCGAACAATGTCTATGGCGGTATTTGTTTTTTAATACGTAACAATAACAAATGTAGCCACCTGGCCCTATCACGCCACGTTACTGGTCTGCGGATGTTTCCGCAAATTCATATTTTCACAAATATCTACAAAAAAAAGGATTGAAACTTAAATGAAAGCATGTCTTATCTTCTAAATGGTATATGATGTATAATATTGTTGATATTTTATTAATTTTTGCATTTTTCCACATTCTCATAGATTTCTTCATATTTCCATTTGCCATAAATGCATAAACGTTCATAAGCAGTTTAGTCATCATGCTTATACACAACGTCGACATAATTAATGTTCACATGGTTAATTTAAAAGTGTCACCTATTGTTTAGAATTTATCTGTTAAGGAGCAACCAGGTCTCTGTATTAAATTTTTCTCAGTTTCTCAGTGCTTGAAATTGTCAGCAGATATTAAGGAATAGCTGTATAGCAAAGAGTAACCGAATAACCAATATACTATCCCTAAAGGGGTATCCAATTTGGCATGGAATGACCCAGCCGCGAATGCTCTAAAGGACAGATCGATCGGAATTGCAATTTACCATTAATGTATTCGGAGATATCGAGGGGGGTGTAAAGTCCCGGCGAACGTATAAATATGTATTGCAGCCTCCGGCAAGATACTGATTCGCATTAATGGAAACGTTAATAACATGTCAGTCGCATGATTTCAATCGATAAGCAGAAAAAAGGAATGCTGTCGACTTCTCGCTCGCTGCTTCTCGATGAAGAACGATACGCAGGGTGTATACAAAAATCGTGCCACGCAATCGTAAGACAATTGTGAAGTGGTCATGCAAAAACGAGTCGAAAATATACAGGATGTCCAAAAAATGTTGTAACACCTTGAAAAGGGTGGTTCGGGAGGTGATTTGAAATAACAACTTTTTCCTTAGCGAAAATGTTGTCCGACGCTTCGTTGAGGAGACATTAACAGAAAACCCCAACCAATCAGAGGGCAAGCCTATCGCGAAACCTATGCTACTGCGGCTGTCTGGCGCGTAGCCTATTCTACTGCAACTGTCTAGCATGTAGTCTGATTGGTCAGTGTTTTCCATAATATCTCCTTAACGAAACCCCGTACAATATTTTCGTTAAGGAAAAAGTTGTTTCAAATCACCTCCTGAATCACCCCTTTCAAGGTGTTAGAACATTTTTGGGGCACCCTGTATACGTGAACAGTGGTGGGCATTACCTGTTATTTGTTCGAGACGTTAGTATAATTGTTAGTCTTCGACACAGTGTCGTGTGTGACAACGTAGCAGTATCCGAGGCATTTATTCTAATATGATTAACTGTAGATAGTAATTATTTCAATATCTAGAAAGAAATTGTTTGCCTTTGCTTTTGCTTATTTGGCCCAATGGAAGTAATTAATTAGTTAATGAGGCTTCTTTGATCTTGGAAAAAATGCAGAGTGCAGTGAATCACAAAATTATTGGCACAGGGGTATATTTAAAAAAAAAAAAATGTCTGTTAGAGGGTTTGCAAAATATTCTTGTTACTTTTTCTTTCATACTTGGTATTCTAAGCTAACGAAACAACACTAGAGAATAACAATATTTATTGTAACCAAGTGAAAACAACGATTCGTAACACAATGTGTACATTTTTGAGTTCACAAAAGCAGACACTGTAAAATAATTAACGCATTCGCGACTGCTAACGCGAATTCATGTCACTTCAAATTCTATTCCTGGTTATGAAAAAAGTATGAAAATCTTTTTATTTGATACACTACATATTTACAACATTGATATTTCAAAACATATTTTGTAATTTTTATCTTCGTCCTAACGATACAAATTTGCGATGCCTAGTTCCAGAATTTTATTATTTTGGTCAGTACTCGCCATTGGAAACGTAAAGGCGGCTTCCCACTGCTGTAACACGTTCGTTCGATCGTAGATTGTGCATGCTCGCCGGATTTTGTTCGAAAACACATTCCCAATGGACGATCATAGAGTCGCTAATCCAACGACGAACGCTTGAAACCACTCGAAACGGTCGATTTTTACGAGCGTTTAAATGTCGACCCACGCTCCAGGCTCGCGTGGCCAGGTTTTTCTGCCACATCGAGCACGTGAGTGCTCCCCGAGAGAATAGTGCGAGGGAATAGAGTGATATTTGTATTATTCAGCCTAAATTTCTATGCTATTTATACTGATTACTTGCATATACCATTGCGTTATGAATTTATCCCCCACAAAACAAAAATGGCGAAGAAAGATCGATTTAAAGATATACGATTCTATTTTTAAAAATCATGATGACCACTGTTTCTCAAATTTCAATTTCTCGGCGATTCAATAAATTCGTACTAATTAACTTTCCTTCCAAACATTTTTTGGTCATACTATTAGAAGTGTCTGAAAAATCGTGGAGATTAATTTGTAACACACCCTGTGTATTGGTATAAAAAAATCCTGTTCCAAGTTGTAAACTCTTTCTAAATAGGAAAGACGATAAAGTCTTAACAATGATAAAATCTTAACACAGAAATTTCTTGAAAGAATTCGCGTCCTGTACTCGCAATCCCTCCTATCTCCCCAGAACTCCGTGTTTCTACTTTCTCGACAACCAACAGAAATTCCCGTGTCCGCAAGAAGCAATAAGTCGTTGTACCGTGTCACCTTGGATACTTATTCAGCTTTCGGTTACAGACGTGATCGCGACACCGGTGGTATACTCCGCCCAGACCCTGACGGGCGCGCTGATAGGAACGTGCTTCTTCTCCCTGGTCGCTGGCTTCGCATCGGGCTTCTGGTTCTCGCAGAGGTTGCGCGGTGCCCCTTATCCGGAGCCACCCGAGCAACGCCAGCAGCTGAACCGACTGACCGAGAGCTCCGAGTCGCCCGGCTTCAACAACAAGTCCATCAACCTGGTGCTGAACGTTCCGCCGAAGAACCCGAACGGCAAAAACGCGAACTCTTCCGCGGAGAACAAGCCGGTGCAAAAGGTGAAGAAGACGTACATATGATACAGAAGACGACACAGGGCCGTCTGAGGCTTGCCGCAGGACCCGACGGGTTCCGGCTCATCTTCTTCCTCTTCTTTCTCCGATCTTGCGACATCGGACGGTCGCAACGACGACGACGACGACGACGACGACGACGACGACGCGGAGAACGACGACGAGAGCCAGCAACTGGCACGCATCAGCACCAGCTGCATGCTCGATCGTCGAACAAACAGACTCGACGAGGACCCCTATGAGACCGTGATCGGCGACGAGAGGTCCCTGGAGTTCCTCGCGACGCCTAGAGACACGTACGACTCGCGATCGGTGTCGAGGATCGCCGATTATAGGAGGCGATACGACGAGTTCGAAGGTCGCGAATACACCGAGACCACGTTGACGGAGCCCGTCAGCGAACTGCACGACTACAACAGCAGCAGTGCGAACAGCCTCGACGATCTCTGCCGCGGTCATCAACGGATGATCGCCGATTTCAATCGTCCCGAGACGACCAACACCCACGATCATTACATGGTGCCCACTCGCGATCCACGCGAGCTGAACGAGAGAATTCTGTCGCTGTTCAATCCACAGTTCCTACCGAACTTCAACGACATGATCATGTACGTGGCCAGCCAGGTCGACGCCAGGCGAAGCCCGCCCCCCAGGTCGCGATCCATGGCCGAAGGGGACGATCGCTTCTTCAGGAGCTCCAGCTACCGCAAGAAACGCGTCGGGGCAAGCTCGATGTTTTTCCGACGCGGATTGACTTACGAGGCGGCGCGCAAGTGACACCGGGTGTTCATTCTCGGACTGAAGCAAAGGATTCACGGCTGGATCGACGGGCCAAAACTTGAGAGCGTCTCGTCGTCGGGATGAACGATCAATGAAGAAAATACCTGATAAGGTCGACTCCTTGCGTCTGTTCAAGCGGAGTTTCACTGATCCGTTGTATAGGTAACCTCGACGGGACTCTCGTTGGCGCTTTAACGTACTATGGTGTCTTCTAGTTTACACCAGCTGGCGTTGATGTGTCTTTTTGTCAAAGAGAGTCGATAAAATCGACTCCCGGAATCGAACGATGACCGAAACGGGCGTCAAAGTGTCGAGAAGATCAAGTGAACGGTATACCTAGTGTCGGCGTTACGCAAACTCTCGGACGTGATGTCTCCCCAAGGAATACGGGATCTCTTTTTCGTCGTAGTTCGTCGCGGAGAACGAGCCTGCTTCCCACGAACAGAGACACACACGAACGTTGAATTATTTTTTTAAACAATGCTCTCTCCGACTGTCTTATCGCGCGACGGACGCAACGAAGGCACTCGGGGACTAATTACGCGCAGAACCCGAACCCTGGTTCCTCGGGTTCTTCCTTTCCGTTTTCTCAGCAGTACGGCAATGGAGGGATACGCACGGGTGGTGAGAGGATACGAGCAACAACGATGGTAACGAAGGATCGACTCGTAGTTGTGCAATGTGATACGATCAGAGGAGACTGTGTTCGTAGCAGTGACCTGCTTAGGTGCTTAGGACCGCGGTGATTTTTTCAACGAAAAGGGAAAGTCTTGGCGCGGGCCGTCGTTTCTCGAGCTTCTTATTGAGTTTTGAGTTCGGTGCTCAAAGTGGAGAGATAAAAAGGCGGGGGCGATTAACTCTTTGTGGTCAAAACCCGGGATATTTCTGACGTGAGGATGCGAACGTTGTTTAGGTAGGGAAACCTAACACTGTATGTATTACTTGTTGCGTCAATGCAATGAGAAAACTCCGTCTGATTATTAACATATTCAAGTGAACCGAAAAATGTTCAAATATTTCTTCTTTCTATGTTCTTTTTGGTAATTATGTAGATGATTGACAGCCTTACCGATTTCTATTAACTTATTTAGCCTATTTAAGACATTAGAAGTTTTCCGAGAACCGCCCAAAAATTACTTGAAAAATATAACTTATTACAATTAACGTGTATTCCTTAAAAATGAAAATAATCCATGCTTTGTTCTTTAATCCCTTGAACGGCGAATTCTTATATGGATTTTGTTTTGATTTAACGAATACACAGTAACCAAAGCAATTTTTATCTGTAAATCGATTTTGACATACCTGTGTCACTTTAATATTGTATATTTTTTAATTCTAAAACGTATTGTGATTGTAAATAACGGTAATTAGATACAATAGTAAATTTACACATAGGTGTCAGTATTATGACACATGAATTTTACATGAAGGAAAGATAACAATTATTTTCCATAAATTAAAGTTCGTAATCAATGGTAAAAAAGAAAATATTTATATCGGTGAAACGATTTTGATCTTTCTATGAAAGATTTCATATTTTTGAGGAAGTGAAAATAATTATATTTTGTGTAAAACAAAATAATACGCACCGTTCTATAAAAACAATAAGAATGAATAGATTATTACCTCGATAATGACAGAATCACGCGAATTAAAATTTTCCCATGATTTTTCTAACACAATTATTTGGTGGTACTTAATATACAATATGAAAGAGTTATTTACAACCTACAAAATGATACATCTTACATGAAATTTAAATACTTGTATAAAAGTAATTAAAGAATTCGTTGAAATGAAACATAAGATGAAACTTTTAATTGATTTTAGTATTTTGAAGGTAAAAATTGTTTCCAAATTTATCGGATTCATTCAAATTATGTATAAATAAAATACAAATGCTTCATATGATGGAAGCATTAATACAAAAATTGAAAAAGTCAGCAGCTTCTTAGACTATATTGAAACTAAGTTCAAAGACTATTTTTTTCCAAATAAGGAGATTTCGCTTAGCGTATTAATCGTAAAATTCAAACGATGAATAACATTTTATTCGTATAATTTACAACTCAAAAAATCAATAAATATTGGCAAATATTGGCAAATCCATTAGATATAAAATGTCTAATATCATGATAATAAATTAAATGCATATAAATTAAACGAACTTGCTTAAATAAAATTTATACGTTTCTTTAGCTAATAATTGTCTGATCGCGTGCTATCCAAAAATAGTTCAAATTGATATGACCACAAAGAGTTGTAGGAACCATGGATGCAACGATTTTTCTTGAAATAATCTATACAACTATCGCTGTTTGAGTGATAATTGTATACTGTATGGATAATTGTTAAGTGACATTATAGCGTTGCAATATGTACAGCTATCGTTGCGACTTAATGTACGATTTGGGGCTCGCTTGGATTGACAACTTTCTTTTGAACCACGATTTGGTTGAAGTTGTTTCACTAAAGAGCCTTGAATTAAGATTTTATAGACTCCTAGGCTACAACTACAGTGACATTTTCAATTATATTTTTAAATAGGGAAAGAATACTTGGATTTACTTGTACGAGACCAGGAACGACTACAATTCAAGTATTTGCTTTTGCATATAATATCTTGGAAACATCAATATTTAGAAATTATTAGCAATGTCGGTATTGATTACCATGATAACAAATCTATTTAGTCATCCTGTGTATATTTAGAAACTCTTCTTTCTAGTTACATTTATCATCGAACACAAGTAAACATGTAATACTATTTTAACATCAGGGAATGAAGATAGTAGTCCATTGTTTACTACCAAAATGTAGATATCCGAAGCTTGTAATGATTCGTGCACAAGCTAGAACTCATCGCATTGCTTCAAATTAACTCTCCATTGCGTAACCTTATACGACAATGCTTTTGATGGTACAGGTTTCGTAATTGTGGTAAACAGCATTGTCTTATTATGAATCAAATTCAACAGTCCGAACGAACTCTAATCGTACAGTAAATCGTTGCATCCATTTCTATTCTAAACGCGACTAGGGAAGAGTTTGAAAAACGTCGATCCGCCAAGGGACGTTTCCATCGTTCGCGCGAGACGAGGGCGTGCCTTCCGTATATTAATTGTTGGCAAATTTCTGACCTATAACAGAAACAAGAGAATGCGGGCCGGTTTAGATTCGGGCAAGTGCCTCATTTATGCATTTCGTTTAAGATATTCGATAGGAAGGGACGATGTGAGAAAGAAAGAGAGTGAGAGAGAGAGAGAAAGAGAGCGAGAAAGAGAGAGAGAGACTAATGTAAGACTTATTACGAGTATTGTTGTGCACTTATTGCCGTGCTGTGAGTATTGGTAAATAGCAAGAGAGAATCGTGGTACCGAAGCACGCTATTAGTAAAGAAACATTGCCGCGTTTTGTGGTGTTTTCGAGAAGTATGTATTTTTGGCTGGGACGTGTTAAATCGATATATACCTGTTTGACAAGTGTTTCGTGAAAGGTGTTGGGAGGTTTTTTAATGTAAACGAAGAACTCGCGTTGAAAATGAGTCGTTCGACTCCGTTTATCGACGATCTTGCAAAGGATGAACGGAAGTAAGGTTCTTGGACAAAATGGAGAACGTCTCGGGATCTGTTCAAGTTTTAACTGCGCGAGCATGCGAAATTATTCGAGCGATTTCGAATCTTATTATTAGCTTAAAACGAACGTACGTTAGAATGTTTTTAATATTATCATATCGATAACCTGAAAGTGTCGATGTACGTGTCAGATTTGAAGAATGTCTGTCGATGTAAATAATATTCGCAAGCAACTGTCTAGAAACATCGACTACAAGTATTCAGATTATTAGATAATAATGGTACATGTATTAAAGGTTGATTGTAGAAACGAATTCTGTGTCTTTATATTCAATCATTTGTAACCCTAATGTAACCCACGCAATTTTGTTATGTTAAAGTATCAACTTTCTAAGTTGTCGTATAACTTCCATTACAATAAATCTGTATATTGCATAACCTAGTCTTAGCCTATCACGACATATGTATGTGTATAAGTTTTGTGGCCACAAAATTTTGCTTATTATTATTCTAACAAATTACAAGTATATTTGATAATTACAGTAATTGTAAAAGAATAATAAGCAAAATTTGATGGCTACTAAAGTTCGTATATGTAGATGCATTGCAATGGCCATCAGGTTAAGACTTAGATTATGTGTATAATTACATTGTAATGGAAATCAGAGTGAGGACTTGAAAAGTTGATACTTTAATGTGCCAAATTGACAAGTAATTATCTGTTCAAATTAGAGGTATAAGTGATTTAATATAAAGGCACAAAATAATTCTACTCCTAACGGTTAATTTTTAATATTTTTACCACTTATCACGTATCGTAAACGCCGTTGCATGCCGTGCGCCATTTTTCAATAGTAGTTTGATTTGTATTATTCCAAACTTCTAGAACTTTCTTTGAGTACTCCTTTGAAATTAATAGTAAAGTTATTTAACCCTTTGTAAGTTTCTGTCCATAAATCTAGATCCACTTTGGAGTGGAGTTTCCAAAACGCAAAATGTGTAGAACATGCATTCTTTCGCAATAGGGACAGTATGCATCAGATGCTTGTCTTGTACTAAATAAAATTATTTAGTAACTTCAACATTTTCGTACTTTGTTTTAATTCTATTTCAAAGCATGTATATATTTACATTCATTTGCAATCCTATCGGTAACCACGAAATTCCTAGCGTCTATGTCTTCCAATTCTATCATGTGCATGTTTTTCCAAATTTAATCGCAAAATGCATACAGTGGGTGTAGAAAGTATTCGTACACCGATCAATTTCCAAAAAAACTGTGTAGAATTATAATTTATTAACTTATTTTTTATAAACAATGACATTCTACATATTCTCGGAAATGTCTAAAATAGATAGATTACAAAAAAAAATAGATAGAAACAATGAAGCAATAAGTATTCGGACAACTGTTTAAAATTAAATTTACTGGAAATTTTATGTTTTATTTAATTTAATTTATAGTTAAATTTACATTAATTTATAAGTATATAATACTTTCTTCGTGGGATTTCCTTCTGATTTTATAATTATTGTAACTTTTCTAAGCATTAAATTAACTAAATTATTAGTTATTCGAAGTGAGATCTTTTTCCATTCCTCTATTAGAGCCATTTTTAAAAGCACTTTAGTGGAAATTTGATGTTTCCTAATTCGTACGAAGCAATAAACTAATATGTTTACATTACAAACTCTACTCTAAATACTTCGTCATAAAAATCGTAGAAATACTTATTACTTCAATACTTTCACCCACTTTTCGCATCTTTTTGTTAATTTCACAAATTATATCAACTAGTAAATGTTGTTTGGACTATATCTATCTTAGAGATCTCCGAGAATATATAAAATATCATTGATTATAAAAAAAGAAGTTAAGAAACTACAATTTCATACAAAAGTTTTTTGGGAAATTAATCGGTGTACGAATACAATCTACACCTACTGTATATAAAATTCATTTTCAATTGTAATGATCAAATCGTGTCAATGTTTATATTTCCTCATGTTAACACTAAACAGGCTTGTGAAGACTTTACTGACCCCATAGCTTTCTTTTATCTCTTTAACTGTAACTACATATCTTAGCAGTACCAAAATTCTTACATTACGTTAAGTATTAGAGAAACAGGAAACAAATATTAGGTGACAATATGTCACCTAACGAGCTAGGTTATAGTTGACTATTTTTACTAAGCAGCCATATCCGTGTATTTTCTTTCTTTGTTGTGTTTCCATACTTCGTTTTATCTTTCTCTTATGAGCCGAAATGCGTAAATACTTTTTACAAGTACCATTACTTTTCTTTCAAACTGGTCAAAGCTGGAGGTAGAACTCGAATGAAGTAGTAAAACAAATGTAAAACTCAACAAAAGGATCTCTAGGATTAAAGCAGGATTTATCTTGATAATTTCACCTTGTTCGAGTGCTTTTGCGATTTTGCTTGATGAAAAATGTTCGATAAATATTGTCTACATCGTCAGATATACTTCAAGCTTGTAAAGTGAAATCCTGATACTTTTACAGTACCAGTATAGTAAGAATATTTTGAAACTTATAACGCACCTTCATCGTTTCAAGCATCGAACGTTTGATTTGAAAGCGTTCGAATATTTTCGTAAACCGATGTATAAAAAAAAGAACATAAGAAATATGCAGGGTGTCCCGTATAAAGTATTCCAAAGTGTTAACAAACTTAGAAACTTGTGATAGTATCGAATTCATTGTACTACAATTAAATGATACAGGGGAGCTAATATTGTTATACACAACAGGAGAGTGGTATTAACTTTCTGTTATTTAGATAGCTTTTATGAAACTGACTAACATTTACTTGAACCATTTTCCAAAATTGTACATAGTCAAGCAGCACGTATTCTTAATTTCATGTTCTCCTTAATTGTAAGATCAATCGCCATTATTACTTCCTCTTCTGTGCAACCACAAAAGAATCGAAATAGTTTACAATACTTGTCAGCTTCTATTTGGAGAATTGAGCCTTT